AATGCCAACTCAATGACTTCATATACCATAGTCTCTTGTATGTTAATTCAAAAGTTCTGTGGTACTGCTTACTTTGATTTGATTTAATGTAGAACCACAACAGTTATACGCTGGCCCACAAGAGACTAAGGCATAGTAAGTCATAGAATTGGCACTATGGATAGAAGCACGATAGATGTGGCAACATGACAGGAAATTGCTTATCCATGGCCTTATAAGAACACGCAAGACCAAGCCAATCCGGAAAAATTTTAATGGTTCTGTATTGAAATCATCAATTACTACTAACGATGATAGGTATATGGTCCCTCTTGATTTCGAAACCATGGATATCATAAAGAAGCGGTTAACTTTTACTCTAGATAAAGAAGGAAATATTCTTAGTTTTATTCTTGTGGAAATTTATCAATATCTCTGATAAATATCCGACAAGTGGGAGATAAAATTAGATATAATCCCATGGATCCAGGTACTTCGAGAACCGATACACATGAGAGGATTGACTGGTATACGGAAGGAATTACAAAAGAATGATCAAATTTCTCTTCAGAAAAATAAGGAGGAGTGATGGTTGTAATGGACAGAAAACATTACAAGAAGTAATTGAAAGTATCCTAGGCGATCGGATCACTTAACAAATACTAGAGAAAGATCCAACCATAAAGATAAGCTGGACACTGAAGAATAATCTGAAGACAATGCATAATACCAGAGACATTGGCAAATAGATAATGAAATCTTTAATCAAAAATGATGCAAGACCACGGACAGACTATGGACTACCAAAGATAAACAAGAAAGGAAATCCGCAATGATTAAGATTCAACAACAAGCATAGAGCAGTACATAAATTAACGAAATTAATTTACTTGAAGCTCAAAAACGTAAATGACAGACTTTTCAATACTACAAAGAATTTATATAAATCTCTTCGAAGAATCCAGAACATTAGACTGGTGAAGAAGGATTTTCTGGTATGTTTCTATGTACAATCCATGTATACAAACATCTCAGGTGAAAAGTGGTAAACGTCTGGAGGCATAGTAGATGCGGATCAAGATGTTTGCATTCCTAATAAACCTGGCAGTATGAACTACAAACTTTACCTTCAACGGTAATATTTCTGAGCAAATATTTTGGCTACCGACAAGATCTCCACTGTCACCTCTTCTGGCAATTGTATACATGAAAAAATCGGAAATGAAATTTAAGGAGTCGCCACTGCAACCAAGAGTGCTTGTGAGAAATGCCTGAACCAGAAGGATAGGAGGCAGGTCCTATAGGACAAGATGAAACTGGGACAAGACCTCTGGGAAAAGCATTGCGAAATAATATGGCAGGCTAATTGACATTTCCAGCACAAGCGTAAAGGGGGTGAGGAGATGAGAAAGTCAGTGTAAGGTGTGGTAAGTTCTCATGAAATCCGCTTAAAAGGGCACACCATACCAGATTCAAATAAGCAATAACTAAATTATGATAGTGAAGGGGTGATACATGGATATAGGATTGGTAAATAGCCTGGGAAAGGAGAGATACCACAATTGTTTAGCAGACTATTGGTTAAAGGATCGGCTTTATTCGTCTCTATTACCAGTTGAAGTGTGGTGCTAAGAATAGCATTGCTCACTGACGATGCAGACATCGATGCAAGCGAAACGTCTGGGAATATACCGAGTCCACGGTCCAAAACTGGAAATTATCATGCATATTATGGACTCCGGAATAGGTCCTCCAACTAATTTGACCAAGTCGCGAAAATAAGGTCAAACAACAACCTACTTTTGTTGCTACAGCACTTCATATATTAGCTTATGCCTGAATTCATTTACTTTTGTTTTGACGTCTGGCA